TCCGTTTTGAAAACAACACACACACTTGCCTCGGTACACCACTTCGTCATCAAGTGGCTACCCAACTCATCATCTCCCTCGGGCATAAGTGGCACCCGATGGGGTTTTCGAAAAGTCTTTTGAAAATACTTTGTCTCCATCACTATGCATATTCCCGTCCCTTTTTGCGTAGCACTACTTTAGCATCCTATCTACTCCCATCGGCATAACCCTCATAAGGAGGTAGGGTCATGCAGAATGCAAGTATCAACGAGGAAGTAACAGAGGCAACCCATCAAAGTGGTTACCGCCTCATCATGATTCCGTTGCAACAACAATATGGTGCTATATGACATGCATAAAAAGGGTTTCATAGACATGGTCAAAGGGCTGCTTGCCTGGCTCAACAAAGTCTTCTGGGTCTTCAAAGTCTTCTGGTCCAACTCCTTCGTCAGCAACGCAATCTATCGTCGCAAAATAATAACGAGAAAATAAGGCAATAATAAAACAGAAAAACCAAAGTGCTCAGAAAAATGTCAACTCATTTTTGTAAAATACTAGGTGGAAAACTAAGAAGGGGAAAATTCCTAGTTTTGAATTTGGAGTAGCAGAATAGGAGAAATGGATTTACAAAGGCATATTTAAATGCTTAAAATCATATTTAAATATTTACAGTGAAGAAAAGGTTGTTGGATTTGAATGAAAGTTGCACCATTAAATAGGTTGCAATATTTTGGGAATTTAGTAATTGGAATTAATTTATTTGGACATATATTTTATCATGTGGAATTTTTGGAAAAGTGACAGAAAAAGAAAAAGAAAAAGAAAAAGGCCCTGTGCCTGCTGGGCCAGAACAGCCGCAAGGCAGCAGGCCCAGCCAGAGAGGCGGCCCAGCGCACTGGTGCACGCGTGTGCGCCAGGTTCAAACCTGACGGGCGGGGCCCAGGCGTCAGGGCGTGAGGCTGACGGACGGGCCCCACGGCCGTCGTCGTCAACCCTGGGTCAGAGAGGGCGGCGAGCTCACCGGCGATGATGTAGGCCATGGCGAGGTCGGGCGAGGGTACGGCTGGACTCAGCGTCGAGTCGCCGTTCGGGTGGAGGTGGTGGACGTCACCGGAGTTGCCTGGCTCGCCGGCGATGAGGTCTCGCGGCGGAGAGGCTTCGGGCGTCGATGGCTCCGGCCGTTTCCGGCTGCAAAAGAGGCGGGGAAGAAGGGGGAAATGGTCAGGGGTGCTCGGGGGTTCCAGATCGAGGCAGAGGAGGAGCAGGGGAGGCCTGTACCATGGGATCGACGGCGACCCGAGGCGGCGGAGCTCGAGCTCGATCTCGAGCTCGGGCTCGTCTGAAGAGGGGTGAGTGGTGTAGGGGGTGTTTAGGGGAGTGAGAGAGCGAGTGGTAAGGAGAGGGGGGCTCGGGGAGGCCTTTAAGTAGGCGAGCCACGGCTCACCATAGACCCGTGCGCCGGCGAGGTTGTTGCCGTTGCTGTGGGTCACGGGGACGCGCGTGGACATGTCTGGGGTGTTCCTAGACGTCGACTACGTTGGGAGGGACAGAGAGAGGGAGTGGGGAGAGGTCAGAGGTGCGCGCGTGTGAGCCGCGCCATTGGCGCGCTTGGGCGGCCGGTGTTTGCTAGCACGGAGGCGCGGGGAGGTGGAGAGAGGAGGGGGCCGACCGCGTAGCGTGCTACGGACGCCGAGGCGCATCGGCAGGCGCGCGGGGGAGGCCCGAGGTGGTCGGAGGCGTCGGGCGGAGGGCGGCTACAGTACGGGAGCGCACTGTAGCGCGCTCAAGAACGCCCAAATGGCCGGCATGGCATTTTCTATGCCTTGTGGGCGCGGCCAACCGTGTCCAATAGCTCAAGGGTGGAGTAAAGAAGTAGGGAGAGGCATTGGATGCTCTGGATGGCCAGTAGGAGAGGAGAGAGGTAGAAGAAGAGGGAGAAATGGGCTGTCCAAAGAGAGAAAGAGGTGGTTTCACCCATCCAATAATGGATCTGTGGATTTTCCATTGTTACTGGAGGTGAAAGGGGACTAGGAGGAGCTGTGGTAAAAAGTTGAGCTCAAGGAGAATAGTTTTAGTGGTCAGAATGGTGATTTTTGAAAAGTGGCAGAAGGTGTTTGATAAAGGTTTTGTCAAGCAAATGATTTCCAATTGCCATGAGACTCCACAGGGTGAAATGACACATATAATTAGGGCCTCTCACCAATTTGGAGCTTATTTGGGCAAAGTTGCCAATGCAACTTTTGTAAACCCTAAAAATGAGCAGAAATAGACTTGTGTAGATCTAGTTGAGCATAACACTTCTCCTTGATTCACTACTTGGTGTAGTGGCCTCATTTGGTCATGTGAACATGCTCACAAAAGTTGAGGTTAAGGGGAGAAAGTTGGTAGTACAAACTTGCTCAAATTAGGTTCTGAACAGAAAGGGTTATGGGGCATTTTGGTGGACCAAAATGACCTTGATTGAAGTGAGGCTTTGCAAGATCATCACAATATGAATTTGTGACTTGCTGAATTTTTGTTGAATTTTTATGGAAATATTTCCTGTAGAAGTATTTCAAATGCTTGAAATGGGCAGAAATGGTTTTGGGAGGTTTTGTCCAATATTTTGAACATGACCATGTGTTTAAACTCTTATATATGGGAAATATATGCCCACTGAGTTTCCGTGATTTTTGTCAAATATTTTTAAAATAATAAAATAATTTTTCCCCATTAAAGACCATTTCTGGCCTTTAGAAAAAGCTTTTAAATAAAATAGGAAAATAACTTTTAAAATTATATTTTTGGGGTTTATGGGAATCCTATATCTAATAGGTTTCAAATATACCTTTTGAAATATTTTTCATACCCCAAATCAGGTACTTGCAGTGCAAACCTCAATCGAGGGGTTTTTGGAAAACTAATTTTTGAAAATACTATTTGGCCAAATTATTTTTGTAAGAAAATACTATATTGTACTATACACATGGCATGATCACTGGGCAGAAGTTTGGGGCAAGGAGATGAAGTACAAAAGGTGAAGTAGTTGACTTTAAAGAGCACTTGAAAAAATCACAGAGAGAAAACCAACTCCAAAATAAAAGCAAAATAATGCAAAAGTTTTTGTTGGCCCAACTTTTCTTGCTTTATTAATGCAAATGACATGTTACAAAATGCAGGGTTGGACAGAAATGTCAAATTCTAGAGTGGCATAAGCAAAATTGGCAAAAGTTAGAGTGGCAAAAACAAAGTTTTCCCTTCGGAAAATGCACAGACAAGGAACTTGGGCCGTTTGAAATAACTTGCAGTATATGGTCCAAGCATCTCTCGGTTGATGGAGATCGAAAGGTTCAAGGAAGCTGAGTAGTCCAGAGTAGTTGCGATCAAGGTTTTTTGCACTCGTGGATGAACTTGTGAATTTTATTCAGAATCTGGTCACATTTTCCTATGTACTCCAGTTGCAATCAAGTTTTTTTGCAGCAGCAAAGAAATGGGCCGAGACTGGGGATCGTCCTCGAGATCGGTGGAATGTGCGCAAAACACAAATCATCAGTGTGGGGGAGGGGGGGGGGGGTGCGCTGCCCCCTCAGCCCTAGATCAATTCTTAAAGGATTCTTGAAGGATGCAGTTCATTACTGGACTTTTAGTGGATGGTTGTGCAATGTGGTTGATAGGTGTACGGAGCAGATCCAACTCCAGGAAGAACTAGGGGCCGAACGATGGTGTGTGCCGAAAAGAACAAGAGATCGATGCGCATACCGTTTGGATCGTTCATCCAGTGGCTTCGCGGCTGGAAGTGGTATCCACTCCGCCAAGCATCGCGTGAAGTTCTGATGGGGTTGGCCGCGTCGAAGTGGTATCCACTCCGCCAAGCATCGCGCGAAGCTCTGATGGGGTCGGCCGTGTCGTGCGCACCTCTGGCGGCTGTCGGGGTCAACAGCAGCAAGTGAGGGAGCCAAGGGGCGTGCTGGGGCCATTGCCCCCTCCCCCTCCCCCAAAAAAATTGTGCTAAAATCACCCCTATATTTCTAACATTATCAACACAAAATCTCTTAGTTCTCGTGTTTCGGCCCCTCCAACGTTTGATATTTTCCATTGGCCCCCTCTATGTGGGATTTCTGGCTTCATCCCTGGCAGCAACAACAGCAGTATCACCGCGGCCATCTCGTACAACAGCTTCCCTTTCACCATGACTACAGATGCGAGTGCGCGCAAGGAGAGAAAGAATTCTCTGGATCAGTATGTAGCTTGCTTGCTAGGAATGAACCATCTCCATGGCCCTTAGCTCATAAGGCACCATGGAAAGCAACGTGTGGGTGGATGCAATGCCGAAAATGAGAGTTAATTGCATGAAAGTACCATAATTGAGGCAATACGTGCAGATTGGAATCAACTTTGATAATTTTTACGAGTCTGTATCAAGTCGGGGGCAAGCCGCTGCAGAACGGACTAAACGGCGTATAAACACGTATTGGCGGGGAAACTAACCAGCGGGGCCTTTCTGGTAGGGGCTGACGTGGCAGGTTCTGTCACAAAAAATCCCTCAGTTTATATTTAATCACACAAAGGGCCTCGTCTGTGAAAAAACTCAAAACCAGAGAAAAACAAATCCGCGCGCACTGAGCACTACGCCAGGATAAAACAAATCGACAAATAGAAATATTGTATTGTACACCTGACCCAGCCATAACGATGAAGACGCTCGGATAAAACAGGGCAATATGTAATCTGGAACGGAAATAGCTTTAAGCTTGGTTTATTTCTGAGAACTCTGATGGTGACAAAGTCAGACTTACTACTGCTAAGTGCCTAAGTGCTAACAGGAATTTATGTAACGCAGAAGGCATTAGGCACATCACAAATATATTTTGGAGCGCTAAGTGTATATCTATGGAGACAGTAAATTCAGTATAAATGTACAGTATTCAGTTAAAAAAGTTGAGCCCTATTGAGAGAGAGAGAGAGGCATGTCATCAGGTCAAGTAGAGCTTGGAAAATATAAATCCGTATTATTGTGAGGAAAAGTTCATGGAACAACGTTACGCGGGAACCTGATTTGGAGGTGTATTCAGATATTCGGAAAATGCACAGACAAGGAACTTGGGCCGTTTGAAATAACTTGCAGAATATGGTCCAAGTGCCTCCAGCGTATTGCTTCTAAGGTGAAGAGCAACCATCCAGGCCTTGGTGTCATCAGACTTCACCTTGGACGTGAGGTAAACAACATCTTCCGAAGGAACAACGCTCAGGACCGGGTAAGCTGTCGCGAGGTCCCTTAATGCATATTTTCCGGCACCGCCATCCGACAGCTCGGGCACATGATCAAACGAGCCATCAACATCAACAACGTGCCCCTTAAGCCAATAGTCCCAGGATTTGTGCCTGTAACATGTCCGGATCTTCCAGCCATCAGGGACAGGAATGAGTTCCGGACGGGCATGATTGCGGTGGAGGACCTCCGAGTCGTAGATAATATCTGTATTCTTGTCAAAATCGCTGGTCATCTTCTTGCAGCTCTTCTTTTTATCGTTCACGCCAAGCACCTGCCTGAAACGGCGATCTATCTCGACAAGCTGGATGAAGCCATCGCAGACGACGACATCCCGGATCAGCTGCGAGTCGTCCCAATTGTCATTGTCATGGAAGAATTCAGCCTTGGGTAGCGGTATGAGACGGAAGACTGGGTCCGCGTCCAGCACGTTGCAGATTTTGATGCCCCGCCGGAGGTCGACCAAGCCCACCTCGCCTCCTCCGAGCAGGATCACTTTGTCGGTTGGCCTGGGCAGGTCGTGATAGTTGATCTCCGGAGGTATCTTGAGTTCCAAACGTTCACAGCTGCTCCACTTCCCCGTCTTGAACGAGAAGACGCAGCGGTCCTCTTCGAAGACGTGATTCGTACAGAGGAAAGCGGCGATGAGGAATTCCCCGTCGTCACTGGGCACGATGCAGATAGACATTGGTTTATAATAAGTATAAAGAACCGGGATGAGTTTCAGCGACGCCATGCCACGGCGGGCCTCGTAGACGAAGTAGTCGTGGAGCACACGATCAGGCGATCCAGGGGTGCCGCTTCGAATTCTTGGGCCAAAGGTGAGGGCCAGGCGGAGGAGGACGAGGTCTTTCTGAGCGGAGACGACCTCGGGCACACCTTCGAAATCCTCGCGCTTGAGTCTAGGGCCATGGACGCTGAAGTGGGAGACTGCCGGAGGATTGGCGAGGTGGAAGGTTACCCCGACGGTGTGGCCGGTGCTCGTCATGGCTTCAGCGGTAGTGACATTCCTTCCCTTGTCGTCGTCGAAGTGGGCCTCTTTGCCAATGATAACCGAGGCGGGGTAGCGGGCGGCGGCGGCATCGACGGCGGGGGGCTGGAAGGAAAATCCCTCCATGGTAGTCGACCGCGTAGCTCTCGCTTGATGGAGATCCAAGGGTTAAGGAAGCTGAGTTTATTTGTTTTTTTTTAGCAAAGGAAGCTGAGTTTGTGTTGGATTTGCTTTGGGATTTCTGTATGGGCTTTAACGTGGGCTTAATAGGTGAGATCCATTTCCTTACCCCGGCTTATCCAGTATCGTGACGCTTCAAGCGCCACAACTCGAAACCGGCGCAGCTCCCGCCGGAGCTATATCTCGCCTATCCCGATCCCTATTCGGCGCCTTTGGCACCGTTTTAGGTGTTCTCGCAACATGGCGCACACCCCCGCCTCAATCAATTATCTGTGGGCCGGCCCGGTCCAAGGCATTCCAGTGGAGTTTGGTCTCTGGTTTTGGCAAGCTTTCAAAAGATTCCAGGCCGGTTTGGAAAGCTTCTTAAAGCTCCCAGCCGGTTTGGGAAGCTTTGAAAAGATTTCAGGCCGATTTCTTTTTTTCAAATTTGAAAACTTTCTTTAAATTCATGATTTTTTTTCAGATTTTCAAACCATTTTTGAATTTTTGTGAACATATTTCCATAAATCTGTTATCTGTTATCATATTTGTTACATTTTCCATCAAATATGTGAACATTTAAAATCCATGCATTTGTTTTTAATACGTGATATTTTTTTAAATTCATGAACTTTTTCTCGATTTTGTGATTTTTAAAATTAGTTATTTTTTATTTCAAGAACTTTTTTTTTCAAATTCATGATTTTTCTAATTTTTGTGCAAACCAGGGAACTGACCGAACTGAGTGAACCAGGGAATTAAAAAACAAAACAAACCAGGAATATTTTTTTTTGAGCGAGCGGTCTAGGAACCGGCCCAACGGTCGCAAGGTTTTATGGGGCCCGCCATGAGCAGCAGGCGCGTGACCGCCAGTTGCCTAACTGGCGCAGACGACGCCAATTAGGAACTCTCCTCACATATTGCGACATCGACATCTGCACTGCTATTAAATAATCAAACAAGAACTTTCTTATGTGCACCTTGTAATTAGTCCCATAACCCCGCACGAACCAATCTACACCACATGATTAGACCCATAATTCTCTATCTAACAGCCATGGTGTGCATTTAGCAATTACCCAGGACTGACCGTGCTTCACCACGGGTGGAAAATATGGAACCCTGCGGCCCGCGGCCCCTGCAATCACGCGAAAAAAATGGACGCCGCCATCCCGCAACCACCGCACGGATGAATTTGCAACAAAAAAACGCAAGTATGAGGCGCCATCGATCTTTCCCTCAGGCACATGCGAGAGCAGGCGGCTGCCCCCATCGTTCCAGTAGGCCGTCGCCCAAACCCTCCTCCTCTGCTAGATGCGAGCTCGGGTCGCCGCCGCCCCCACCGTTCCACTATGCCGTCGCGCCCACCGCTCCTCCTCTGCTCGATGTGAGCTCGGGCCGCCGCCGGCACCGCCTCCAGTATTCAACGACGTGCCACAACCTCAAGGTCTTGCGTCAGATGACCCGGACGACAAGGGGTAGGAGGAGATGGCCCCTCCCGTCCTTCACGCTTCCCGGCCCTGCGGCGCGGTACCGCGCCGCGCCTCGGCGCCTCCCCTCCCTGTTGTGCTCCCTCGACATCCAGACCCTAGCGCCATGCGTACGTGAGGAGGGCGTTGAAGAGGATGCCGAGGTGGCACGATCCACTTCAGGATTTCCTTCAGTTGCATCCTCCATGTAAGGGTATACACGTTCTTTGATCTAAACGTGGCCATGTATGAGATCGTAACGACCAATTTGGCCTCCAGCAAAGTATTTCTCTTTGTATTTATGTGATTTGATAATACAAACATATATACGCCCTCAAAAAACAATACAAACACACAAGGGTATCTAGATCCGTGAAAGCTCGTGCTTGACTATGTGTTTCTGCCTTCAATAAATTCACACATGCAATTCTTAAAGATTGATTGAACTGTTAAACTAAGTGGATGAAGAAAATGAGTTCGTTTCTCAAACAAAAATACAGCCATGTAGCACTACGTTAAGGTCCACTATTCTAGACATGTGACAGATTTCAAGAGTACTGAGGTTTGATGTACATGTTTCATTCATGATAGCAGCCTCTTGCTTCTTTATTTTAGGTTCAATTTGAGTAAATATTGGTTGATCTCTTATGTAGGTACTCCCCTTGTTTCCACGATATGATTCTGAGTTTGAACTGTAGCATTGTGTGACAAAATTCAAGTGCATAGGTCCTGACCAAACAGTGTTGGAATCTCAACTTCGGAAGGCTGTTGCAGCTCCTCTTGTGAATCCAGTGAATGTGTGATCAATAAGCAAGAAGTTCTCCCTGCTCCACTGGAAGCTACATCTGAAGATGAAGAGCAAAGCTGAAACAATGCTATTATCAGGTTAATGTTCGATCTTGTGTTAGACCCGGGACTAATTTGCTGGTGCACGTTAGTGTCGAGTGTCTAACTGGTCGTATATCTCTCAACAGTACTTATTTATTAATAGTTTGATGTGCTAGTAGACTTCTTGGATATAAGTTTGCACATATGTCAAGCTGTTACCCAACATTAGCCCTTAGAATTGAAATACAATGCCAACAAACTATTTTTTTCCCTTTTGGTTAAACAAATCTCATTGTAAACCAACTATTTTTTTCTTTAGATATAGAAATATTCATTCTTGTCTTGCTCGATATATGTTAATGCTCACTTCATTCTGCTAAAAAATTTCCTCACGAAGCCTTGCATGGACGTTGATGCCTATTTGTAGATATGTATTCACCATTCGTTTTCTTCTATAAAACTTCACTATTACTCCTACTTTTGTAGTCATCTGCTAAACTTTTAGTCAAAATAGTATTTTGATAGTTGAAAATTTCTTTTTGACGGGCTACAAGAATGGAGGTTGTGTGGGAAGAGATTGTTGTTGCTGAAGGCCAACTATTGTTGTTCTGTCGTGTTGATATTGAATACGCAACTATTTACCCATGCTCGTCAAGCACAAACTACATTTTTTCTTCATAGTTCACTTCCCTTCGGTGTCTTGGCTCCCGGGAGCACATGCACCCGGGTGAGCAGTAATGCAAAACAAATTTAATTTTTTTTGTGGGTGTTAGTGTTAGTGTCACAAGTATGCTGGACAATTTTCATGCAAAATGGAATAGCGGTGTTTCGTCGGTGAAAAAACAAATTTAGGGTGACATTTGGTGTTTAAAAACAAATTTAGGGTGACATTTGGTGTTCATTTTGTTTATTTTGCACAAGCCAAAATGCTTAACATTTTTGCCTCAAAATTTGCATGTAGCATTTGGATGTGACTAGCAACACATAAAAAAATTGTCTTGATTTTTTGGGCCCAGGACCATGTGCTCCCAGGAGCCGAATTGAATTTCTGACTTCTCATCTTGATACATAATGATGTGCTAAAATTTATTGTTTTTACTTATAATGATAGTACCATGTCATTTCATTTAGAACGCTGCCAAATCATTTATTTAATTCAATGGGTACATTGCTATGTTGCTTAGAGCGGCTGTTCCCCTACTTCATGAAGTTGTGGCACTCAATGGCGTTGGTTGAGACAATGACGTAAAAATAGAAAGAAGATAAAGGAAAGTTGGACTCATAAGAAAACAACCATATTACCATAGATCTATAGTAGATAGATAGAAAGAAAAATAATGATTGTAACTGAGTACTTGAATATGTTATTCAAGATTCATAGAATAACAAGGGTACTAATAGTCTGAAATGTGAATGTAGTGGCTTTTTTAGGAGGAAAATGAACCTTTTCTATAAAACAATTCATTTTAAATATTTTTCACTATTACTATCAGATTATCCTTTACATACAAGTGAACTTTCGCATATGATTGTAACATTAGGCAATACATGCGTTGCACGTGCACGCTTACTATATGCCTAAAAAAACCTATCGATATGTTATTGCGAAATGTTGTAAGTATGACTCGCATCTAGAGTGTGCAGGTATGGGCCGGTCCATTAACGTGTTTTCTCGCTCTGTCATTGTTAATTCGCCCACTCGCTCGTTATTGTAGATTTTTCTTCTTCTTTCCCGCACACTGCTGAATTGATCTGGTTTTCCTTTCTTTCGTTTGTGTTTTTGACTTTTTCCCCTTTGGTTTTTTCTCTTCTGTTTTCATTGGTTTTCAGAGTGTTTCACCGTTTTTCATTGTTTTTCTTATTTTTTTGTTTTTTCTATTTCTTACTCTTTTGTTTTTTCTTTGTTTTCATCTATTTTTATTCAGTTTCTTTGTTTTTTTTCATATTTCTTTTCCTTTTTCTTTTTCTATTGTTTTTTCTTTTGTTTTCAGTTCTTATCGTGTTTTTACCTTCTTTTCTTTTTTGTCAGCACATATCTACTTTTTACATACACATTTTTACATTTTTGTACACAAGAGGGAAAAATCTGTAAAAGATTTTTATTTTTCCTTTTTTCAGCACATGTCTACTTTTTCACACAATGTAACTTTTTTGTGTTTAACATTTTTTAACACATGATTAATATTTTTATATTATATGTTCCAATGTCTACTTTTTTCATACATGTTGTATATTTATACATATACAACATTTCTATTAGACATGTTTAACATTTTAAAATACATAATTAACATTTTTTTAAATATTTTGTTTTTTTCATTTATTGTATACACACAATTATTTTTTATACATGTTGAATAATTTTTAAATATATGATTAAATTCAATATAATGATTAATATTTTTTCAAAATACATCTTTTCATGTCTACTTTTTTCTTACACATGAAGTATTTTTGTATACATGAGGAACATTTTTTCCATAAATGTTTAACATTTTCTAAATACATTTTTAATGATTTTCAAATTATATTTTTATGCAT